GCCATGTCGTAAAATAATGGCGCGAAGGAAAAAATCGGCTACTTCAGAGGTAGCACCAGATGAAAGAGCTGCGGTCTCCGCGTAGCGAGTAAGGTCGTCTACGGCAGTAACAATCCAGCGGTGACCGGCTGGCGTAAGCGGAAGAGGTCCGTATAAGTCTATGCCCACAAATTCAAAGGGAGTGGACGGGCACGGCAGTGGTTGCAGTGGCCCCGCGGGAAGAGACGTGGTACGTTTTCGGTGCTGGCATGACGCGCAGGAAGCGACGTATTTGGCGACAGAAGTGGAGAGGCCAGGCCAAAAGCAGCGAGTCCTGAGGCGGTCGTAGGTCTTGTGGAACCCTAAGTGGCCAGCTGTCGCATCGTCATGAAACGCTTGTAGAACTTCCAGACGAAGTGAGCGAGGAATGACGGGAACCCATTGGTTACCGAGAGGATGGTAAATTTGCCGACATAATGTTCCCTCTTGAAGCTTGAAACGGGCAAGTTGTCGTCTTAGGCGGCTGTTTGGAGCACGCCGATAAGCCAGTGAGCCGATCGATGATTGTGCGGCAGTAGGTATCGGCATGTTGGAGCGAGGCGAGATCTGTGGACGAAAGAAGGTCCGCCGAGGCAACTAACTGTTTCGAAGGAGCAGCCGTCTGTTTGGTCACTTTGGCAGGCGGTGACGAACAGATGGAAGGTGACACTTTGGCGCTTTGCGAGAGCGGGCACGGAACAAGCGTCAGCATCTTGGTGCTCTCGGCCCGACCTATATGTGACGCTGTAGTCATACTCTTGCAATCGTAGTATCCAACGGCCAAGGCGTCCCGACAAATTTTGAGAGACGATAACCAACACAGAGCATGATGGTCAGTCACTATTGTGAAATGCCGGCCGTATAAGTAAGGACGAAACTTTTGGATGGACCACACGATGGCGAGACATTCTTGCTCAGTGATGCTGTAGTTTCGCTCAGCATGTGACAGAGTACGGCTCGCGTAGGCCACGACTTGTTCTTCGGAAGCTTGGTTCCGCTGAAGAAGGACAGCACCGATGCCAAGTCCACTTGCGTCAGTGTAGCACAGTAGGTGCTGCAGGGTCGAAATGGCGAAGCACTGGCCGTGATGTGAGGCATCGCTTGAGGGTGTGAAAAGCGGCTTCGCAGTCATCCGATCAGACAAAGGGTGCGCTCGTGGTCAGAAGTTTGTGCAGAGGAGCCGCAATAGTAGCGAAATCACGTACAAAGCGGCGGAAATACGACGCTAAGCCAAGGAAGCTGCGGAGGTCTTTCTGTGTGGTTGGTGTAGGAAAGTGCAGCACCGCGGCAACCTTGTCGGGATCGGGCTCAACGCCATGTTTACTGACGACATGACCTAATACCTTGATGCTGTGACTGGCAAACCGACACTTCTTAGTGTTGAGCTGGAGACCGGCCTTAGCTAAGCACGTGAGGACTTCGTCTAGCCGTTCCAGGTGCTGTGAGAAGCTCGACGAAAAAAAAATGACAATGTCGTCCAGGTAGCAAAGGCAGGTCTTCCATTTAATCCCCGCAGTACCGTGTCTATCATCCGTTCGAATGTGGCTGGGGCATTGCACAGGCCGAAAGGCATTACATTGAATTCAAAGAGCCCATCTGGCGTAGCAAACGCAGTCTTCTCTTTATCAGACTCGTGCATTGGAATCTGCCAATAACCGGAGCGCAAGTCGAGACTTGAAAAGTACTCGGCACCTTGTAAAGTATCAAGAGCGTCGTCAATGCGAGGCATTGGGTAGACGTCCTTACGAGTGATTTTGTTGAGTGATCTGTAATCAATGCAAAACCGTACCGAGCCATCCTTTTTTTTCTCTAGTACGACAGGAGAAGACCATGCGCTTATCGAAGGCCTGATGACGTTGCGCGCGAGCATGTCGTTGACTTGTTCTTCTATAAGCTGGCGCTCAGAAGCCGACACACGGTAAGGGCGGCGGCGAATCACACGGGATCCGTCGGTGTCGATACGATGGGCGGTCACTGTTGTTTGACCCAGACCTTCGGAACAAACGTCAAAGCAAGTTTTGTGCTTCATCAATAACGCTAGCAAGGCATCCGTTTGCGTTGGGTTGAGATGTTCACACAAAGTGGCCTTGAGAGCAGGAAATGCATCTTCCGCTGGCATACACTTTGAGAATGACGAAGCAGATGAACCAGTGACGACACAGAGCGGTGCTTCTTCGGTAATGCTGGCAACAGTGGTCCCCTCAGGCAAAAGAAGCGGTTCTGGCGTCGTGTTGCAGGCCGTGATGCTTGCATAACCACGGGAGAACCGCACTAAACAAGATGCGATGGTGATCCCTCGAAAAATGCAGCGCTGGCAAGGAGCAACCAGAGCGTCACCATCTAGAATGTCACGTGACTTGATCGTAAGGACACGTTCTCGTCCGGGAGGCAGGAGGAAATCCGCAGCTGTCACAGGTTGGGCGACGAAAGGTCGGCAGCAGAAGAAAGCTCAGTGTCCGTAATACGAATGAGGGGCCGACCACACGAAATTACAGCAGACGCCGCTGACAAGAAGTCCCAGCCTAAGATTATCTGATGAGCGCACGAAGACAGCACAGCCAATTGTATGTGATGACGGATTCCATTGATGAGAATACGAGCAGTGCACAACCCGGTCGGGCGAATTGGACTGTCATTAGCACCACATAACATGGGACCGGCATAAGGAGTTTGCACTTTACGCAGGCGAAAACACAATTCACGATCAATTACCGAAATTGCGGCTCCAGTGTCTATAAGGGCGTCAACAAAAACACCTTCCACAGAAACAGGCAGTAAATTAGCTGGACGAAACGGAGGAGTTGTAGCGTTCCGACGACAAGCAGTTTCCCCTCCAAAAACTGCACCTTCCAGTTTTCCGAGTCCCGAGAGATCGGAGCGGTACGCAAGGGTGATGACGTACGCCGAAACGGTGACGGAGAACGGCGGCGAGATGAACGAGAAGGATGAGGCCCAGCATGAGACCGTGGAGGGGAGGGCGACTGGCGGAAGGTGGATGGATACGGTGCGGGATCATATTCATCGGGTCTCGGGGAAAAGTCTCTCTCGTAAGCTGAGTAACCACGTCGTTCATCCTGCTGACGGCGGCGGCAGAAACGGGATATATGACCCCTTATGCCACAGTAGAAGCAGATGGGGCGGGGAGGACGCCATGTAGAATAGTGGCGTAGCCTTGGCGCTTGCGTTGTCATCGCAGCCACATGGTCGCATCCGACGTCCGCAGGCACGGTTGGAACTGGTGCAGGGACCCGCGATGCAACTTCTGCGTACGAAGGCACTGGGAAGCGCACAGGAGACGGGGCATGTGCAGCGCTTGTCATTGATGCCAGTTCGTCCTTGATTATCTCTCGCAGGTTGGGAGGAGGTGTGTGGACAGACGCAACGGTAGGGTTGCCTGGAATAAGGCCGTGAAGTTCTTCTCTGACAATTGTGTGGATAAGGGCCCGCAATTCATGCTCTTTGGTAAAGCGAGCGTCGCAGGAGGCGTGTGGAAGGCGCATGGAATGAAGCACGTCCAGGCGTTGGCATGTAGTGATGACGTCTCGGACGGTAGTCGGGTTCTGAATCACGAGAGCATTGAAGGCCACAGAGTTGATGCCTTTCAGTAGATGTCGGACGCGATCGGCCTCCGTCATGTCATTTTGTGCTCGGCGACAGAGAGCCAGAATATCTTCAATGTAGGACGTATACGATTCGTCGTCCCCTTGAATGCGGGTTGCGAGCTTCTGTTTCGCTACTACAGAACATCCTGCAGATGTGCCAAATACCTGATGGAGATGCCCCGTGAAGGCCGACCAAGTGGAGAAGTCGCTCTCGTGGTTGTAATACCAGGTTTTAGCGACGCCATCGAGGTAGAAAGGAACGTAGCGCAGTTTGTGCGCCTCGTCCCAGTAATTACAAACGCTGGTTCGATCATAACTGTCGAGCCATTCTTCGACGTCTTCGTTGCGAAGGCCGGAAAATACCGGAGGGTCTCGATGAGAGGTACTCACGGTGTAGTGAAGCCTAAGTGGCTGAGAAGGAGCGGTTGCAGCAGTGGGCGGGTTGGGTTCTGCCATTGCTGTTGCTTGAGGACACAACCGTCGACCAGACCGGAGCTCCAGGGGTGACGGGTAGAGCAGGAGGACGTGGGAACCAAAGCACGCTCCACCACTTATGAGACCACGTCCGGTACGGCAGCAACCAGGTTATCCTTCTTTAATCCAGGCGCACGAGCCAGAGAGCCAGCCCGCGTGACATACGATGATGATCACTACAATGGTTTGGTCATGCAGATGAAGATGAAGTACATAGTCAGCGCTCACAATATATATATATAAGGGAAACAAGTGTATGTATACTTAAGGGCTCGTTTTTCGTGTTTACACAATATTAATGAGATCTAACAGACAATAATGCCAAGAAAGATATGCGGGAAGTTATTGGGCCAATTTTAATGTAAATGGGAAGAAATAAAAGTGGGTGAAAAGATAACTTGCCATGGGCAGGATCCGAGCTTGCGACCTTCGAATAACGCGTTCGATGCTCTACTACCGGATCCTGCCCACGGCAAGTTATCTTTTCACCCACTTTTTACCAAGGTCACTACCCTCGCTGCACAGTCTCTGTTTGTGACAAATGTGTGCTTTTCAAACTAACAACTGACACACTTATTCGCGTTCATCTGTACCTGTGAGGGCGTTTTGTGCGTCATTTGTGCGTGAGCAACGCGGAGCACCTTTCGAGTTGCTTGCTGTTCTTCACCTGACATTCCAATTTGTTGCGATCGCATTCACTGCTTCGCATTTGCGGTATATCTATGACTTTTTTCATGCCCGCAAAAATAACAGCATCACTTTACTCCCAATCTCGCTGTGCATATAGAGTAATAATACAACGATTATTTACTCCTACAACACTCTTGTCCCAAAAATACATCTAACATTACTGCCCCCCTCTCGCCTCTTTGTGGTGATTCTCGTGAATAAAAAACGTCCTGAAACGTATTGTCGAAAACGAGCGATTTATTTTCATTGGCAAAATGGTTTAAGGCTTACACATATAGTAAACCTTGCCATTTTCCTCGATTCGTTTCGCACAAGCTTTCTTTCTGTTTTCGTTCAAACTGCTGCTGGCGTAGGCCCGCTTCCATTTTGGTTCCCCTATAAATAAGGAGAGACGTGCAAACAACGCAGACAGAGAGCGTCATGACACACAAATACACACCCGCACGTACACACACACGCATACACACACTGCACATTGAAATATACACATTTGACTGAATTTTGTGAACGGGCACGATCACTGGACGCTGTGACCAAACACACAACAGTGCACCTCATTTGTGTTTGCAGAACGTTGGCACAATACTATACCTACTTGATTTAAAACAACTTAAAAAAGTCTCATGAGCACCTGTTGATGTTGGCATTCGCAATGCACAACAATGCCGCTGGGATAACGCCGTGCTCTAACTAAAAAGGGAGTCCACTGACTGATTTTTTGTTCAGTCTTGACTTGCAACGTGTAATACTCTCTTTGAAAGACATGTGAAATCTTTCGGCAGATCACTACACACCCGAGGTAAATATAAGGGACTAAAGAGAGAAAAACAAGCTGGCATGTCACGAAAGAAGAGAGTTTTATACGTGGCAAATCGAAACTTGCATATATTGTAGCAGTAACGTTTTTTTCTTTTTTTTTCTGTGAAAGGGCGCGCAACACCACAGCCCCAAAAGACATTGATCTACCACTAGCACGTTTTATTCTATTACGTTCAAAACTAGGAAAAAGTTTATGTATACAGCACTGCTGCTAGTTTATTTGTCTACGTTATACTGGTTATACAGTGAGAAAGAAAGTAAAAAGCGCAATAGCTACCAAAAAAAGAGATATCTATCAAGATCAAAGCTATAGGGCTGTGATGAGACCACCATGCCGGCGCTGAACGCGTAGCACTGTCCCAGCTAAAGCTTGAAGAGTGGCCCTTCAGAGCCCTTTTTTATTTGTTTAGGTAACTGCGGCAGGCACACATGCAGGGCACCCACTACGCCATTATTCATTGTGTAGTAGGCAGACATTTGTGCATGCTGGGACTGACGATGATGGAGAACTATGCCAGAAGGTTTGTAATCCCCACAATCCCCCGCAGCAGTTACGTGCCACTGTTAATAGATGAAGATCAAGCTTTTGTGAAGGGTTGAGAGATTCGACGGCCCAATCGTTGCGCAATTCGCATTATGTGACAACTGGTTGTTCGTTTGCGGTTCCTAAACGCTTTATTACTCATTATAACGCGATTCCTATTCCAACATCAAGCCTGCCTAAGGCCAGTTTGCAATGAGGTTCCAAGCACCAGCGCGGCTCAGCGGTAGAATAGTAGACTCACATGCAGGTAACCCATGTGCAAGTACCGTTGTGTGTTTGGTGGTTTTTTTATTTACTGAAGTTTTTTTCTCATTTCGTACGACAGTGGTTATGGACACCAGCGGTCGCGGCGGTGATCAACTACCGCGCACGCCACCCGTGTTGTGATCTCATAGTAGCTTTCGATGTAAAAAATATAAATAACCGAGATTGTCATACACAGCTCACCGGCAACAATGCACGGTGCGATGAAGCGTCTCACGCACGTTTCTCTTGGTTCTGCCCGCATTAATGGAATGCATCACATCACATATATAACTGCACACGGCTGCTTATCACTATAGGCTGGTCATTGCTAGGCAGGGGGTGTTGGAAGACATGGTCACACAAATATTTTTAATGCAGAAAGGCGCTTGTTTAAATCTCCTTTTCTATTTGGCGGGAAAAGGTGGAAATTATAATGGCTTGCTGTCCTTTGTTAGACCCAACATGAAAAAAAACTGAACGACATTACTGCCAAAGAAAGTATAGAAGGCGTTAATAGATGTAAATGTAACAAATAGACTGAACCTGCGACCTGAACCTGCGACCTTAGAACAGAAGGGACTGAGCCTGCGACCTTCGAATAACGCGCCCGATGCTCTACCCACCAACGTTACTAGAACCAGACCTGGTTCTAGTAACGTTGCTACCCACTGTGTTACCGCAAGGACTTTACTCCCGTTGACTTAGTGTTGTATGTATATGCACTTAGGCTCAGAAGCATCAGTTAGCGCCTTGGAGCAGCCAACCAGCAGATGCGAAGCAGCTTAGAGTCGAGCTCAATTCACTGTACATCATGCCCAATATATATATATATATATATATATATATATATATATATATATATATATATATATATATATATATATATATATATATATATATATATATATATATATATATTGTCACGGCTAAAGGCCGGGCAAGAAGACAAAGGACGACGAAGTGATGAGCGTGGACAGCACCCACGATTCCTCTGAAAAAAGAAGAAGTCGAAGTGGCTGCTCTTTTGTTCTGTTAATACAGACCTCGTTTTTCTGGTCGCACCGTCGTCCTGTGCTCTGTTATTTTCACCTAGCACATCGAGTCCATCACCGCAATCCGTTCCTGCAGTGGATACTCTTGTCCACCACTACAGTCGCCGACAGCGAGGCCTTAGTCCCGAGGTGATCCCGCTCGAACTTCTCCAGCAACACACCGTACCGGGAGAAATGGCTACTGGAGGGCCTTCACAGCTTACTGTTGATCAGCCTCTAATTCCTGAGACCTTCCACGGTGAGGTTTATGAAGACGTCGAGGACTGGTTAGCCCAGTATGAGCGAGTCGCCAAAGCCAACCACTGGCCAACTGAACAAAAGCTATCACGCGTCTACTTTGCTTTGGCAGACAGGGCTCGTACGTGGTACAAGAACCGCGAGTCAACGCTGTCTTCGAGGGAAGAATTTCGGCAGCAAATTCTCGGGACATTCGCAAACACCGACCGCTGTGATTCTGCTTTGCAGCTCATCGAGTCACGCATACAGAAACCAAACGAGAGCGTCGCCATATTTGCGAAAGACATGACCCGCCTATTTCAGCGGGCCGACCCCGAGATGCTTGAAGGTAAAAAACTACGACATTTGATGAGAGGCGTCAAGGAAGAGCTGTTTGCCGGTCTCCTACGCAACCCACCAACAAGTGTAGCCGAATTTGTCAAAGAGGCTACAACAATCGAGCGAGCACTGCAGCAACGGCGCCGATACCATGACCAACCAATCAAAACATCTCCCAGTCTCTCTGCTTTGAGTGCCGGTAGTGAGTGTTCTCTGCGCGAACTCATTCGTGAGGTCATTCGGGAGGAGATCCGAAACCTCCTTGTGACTCCGCAAGAAAATACCATGGCTTGCGTTGCAGAAGTTGTGCGGCAATAACTCCGCCAGGCATTTTCGTTGCCCGAATCGCCCTCAGACCAGCGGTCTGTGAGCTACGCATCAGCTGTCCGTCGACACACTCAGTGTCCTACAACTCGTCACCACTGGCTTATCGTGACGTAAGCCAAGGGCCTTACAACGAGCCGTGGGCCCCAGCTCCCAATCCGCCGCAGCCGTATCCTCAGTCCAACGTGCCTATGCAAACGGCGCCAATGTACACTCCGCCGACATCTGCATCTTGGTCGCAAGGTATGCCCACCAGTCGACCATTCATCCGTAAGACGGACTTGTGGCACACCGTCGACCGTTGACCACTTTGCTTTCATTGCGGAGAAGCCGGCCATATTTTCCGCCATTGCCCGTACCGTGACCGTACACATCATAACTTTCTACTAACCTCCCCTCGTGCCTATTTCGATAACCGCCGTGACAGCAGTGCAGGCCCGCAAGCACAGCAACCCGAAGTGCCGTATCGTCGACCCCGCTCTCCTTCACCTGCACCGAACTCGCCGCCGCAGCGCAGGTACTCCGAGGTGGTCCGGGGCAGATCTCCTAGCCCTCGTCGGGGAAACTAACAGCTGCGACCTTTGGGGGGAAGGTTGCCGCCCGTCGAGGTGCTATCACACCCCCAACATCTTCTCTACGACGTGATATGACGAATGATACCACGGATCGTACGACGCACGATACCAAGGACGACACGATGTCACCGACATCAACGGCAATCGTAAGCGCCAATCTAGACATTTGTATAGACGGACGCCCAATAACAGCACTGGTAGATACTGGTGCGGACTTCTCTATTATCAGCCGTAAACTCGCCGACTGCCTAAAGAAAGTAAGAACAATATGGACGGGACCAAACATTAGAACCGCAGGGGGTCAATTGGTGACGCCGACTGGCAAATGTACAGCTCGAATTAATATCGGCAGTTCAGATTTCGTCGCTACTTTCGTAATTTTACCGGAGTGCTGCAAAGACCTGATCTTGGGCATGGACTTCTTGCGTGAATACGATGCCATTATCAACATTCCTGAGAGATCGGTTACGTTTTGGACGGCCCCAGATCAAGTTTCGGATGTGCCCTGTACAGACCAGCGACGTCAAGCCTTTGCGTGTCTTCGAAGACGACGTGACCATCCACCGCGGTCGAGTGCACTCGTGGCTGTGACATGTAACACGTCGAGCGATTCTGAAAACATCGCCGAGCAAATTCCAACACTGCTATTCAGCCATGGTTTATCTATCGCAAGAGGCGTCGTAAGCATAAAATGCGGACACACGCACGTCCTTATTACGAACTTCAGCTCTGAACGCCGACATCTAACGAGAGGCATGGCAGTCGCGTACGTGGAAGAGCTCGCCGAGATGACAGACTGCCTAACTCTTGAAAAAGATAATTCAACTGATCTCACCCCTGCACCTCTATCTGTTGATATTGGCCCAAGTTTGCTGCCGGCGCAGAAGCAAAGTATCATGCAGCTTATTAACAAGTTTGAAGATTGTTTCTCTTCGATTTCAAGGGTACGTCAAACGCCACTGACGAAACATCGAATTATAACGGACGACATGACCAGACCCATCAGGCAAAACCCGTACCGGGTAGCTCCGCGAGAACGTGAAGCCATCGAAAAGCAGGTGCGACAGATGCTTGAAGACGACGTTATTCAGCCGTCGAAAAGCCCTTGGGCTTCGCCGGTTGTATTAGTGAAGAAAAAAGACGGCACCTTACGTTTCTGCGTGGATTACCGCAAGCTGAATCAGGTGACAAAAAAAGACGTCTACCCACTTCCACGTATCGACGATTCACTCGATCGACTACGGCACGCGCGTTATTTCT